CGATCTGCGCAATAGTGAACCGATGACATGTGTCAACCAAGTCAGCGAACCTGACCACCTGATCCCGTCAGTCGCCTCTTACGACAAGCATGGGTTACTGAAGGCTCATTCTAACTCGGACCTTCACGGGTCGTTATTCCGAGACATTATGTAAACATCTAAGTGGTATTTAAAGCCACATCAGTTTACTATTTGAACATGACCAACGAATGTAATCCTGAAACTAACCAAATGGCTTGAAGGTTACGACAAAGGGCGATAGGGGGCGGTACATTTGCATAAGACACTCAAACGATATAACCTCAACTTCCTTCCTTTGAGATTCCGGGATAGGATAAGTTCACAGCAACCCTGGTCTCTTGTTGGAGGCGACTAAACTGATGTGCTGCTCAACTTTGGACCCGGTCCAAAAGTACTCTTAGCGTTACGTGGATGCACGCCCATGTTGGCAGTTACGACCGCCTTAGCGCTGAGATCACATGCAAGAATTGGTCTTCACTAACCCAAACATGAGGCAACAAAAGGAATCGGGTGGTCAGACTCGCTGACTTGGTTAACACATGTCATTGTATCTCAACTGAGTAGATGGATGCTTATGATGTTGATCACTGGATTGTCTGGTCCAGACTCGATTATTTATATACCGACATTTAACATTTTTAACGGCATGCCAGTCAACTTCATACGTTAACCCGTCTGTCCGAAAACATGAAAATAATTATACTTAAAGAAGCCGCGTATTAGAGAGTGAGGAGTATTTGACGCCACTCTCACTGTTTCCTAGCATCATTGCGACGATGGCATAAAAAATGTGCTTCAAATATCATAACCATTTCAAGATTCGAACCCGGGCATTCGGTGTGTCGAGCGAACGCTTTAACCACTAGACTACCCACCGCGTCTGTCGATTTCTCTGTACAAGTAATATTTGCACAGTATTTAGGAAGTCCTATTGTAAAGACTATATATATAATCTGTGCTGATGCCCAGCTGACGCCATAATTCGGTGTGAAGATCTGTGGCGGTGTCCAGTCATGGTTTGGATTGGAAACCCAGATTAACCTTGCTCAGCATCATCGTTTTCTCCAAAAAGCATCTTCATCTATTTAGGCCCCATTGGTTCAAACTCAGTCCCGGTTTGCCGTGATTATGTTTCTGGCGGGGGTGTTGGGGTAGCCTAGTGGTTAAAGAGTTCGCCCGGGTTCGATTCCCCAGATGGGCACAATGTGTGAAGCCCCATTTCTGGCGTCCCGCGTATTGATGTTGCTGGAACAGTGCTAAAAGCGGCGTAAAACTAAACTCACTCACTCGAGCTGAACGACTGAGACCATCATTACTTCGGGTTTTCCTCCCACATTAAGCTGACACGCCGTGATATAAATGTCATTCAGTTCAATGCGGCGTTAAACCCGACTGACTGACTCACTATACTGAAGACCCGTGAATATCACTTACATGTAGGCAGAATGTGACCAGAGATTTATTCAAACAGTGTACCCGTAAAGATCCCGGTTTGATTTCGTCTTCAGTAACCCATGCTTGTCGTAAGAGGCGACTAATGGGATGATGGTTCATGATGTTGATCACTGGATTGTCTGGTCTAGACTTGATTATTTACAGACCGCAGCATAGCAAGCTAGAATATTGCTGAGTGCGGCGTTAAACAACCAACCAAGCACTGTACTGAAAGCTGTGTACAGTAGGGTTAGTTTACCCGTGCTGACACACCGGGACAGCTGAAGCTTCGTGTGACATGTCGTTCCAGCGTTTCATAACCGTGTTAATAAATCACACACTCACTGCACGTCCATTTGTTTCTTGGCAAGGAACGATCTTTTCTGATCTTAACATATTATTTGTAAAAAAAAAACAAGATATAAAAGTCAAGGTTTATAACGAATAAACGCTTACATGTACTTAATTAAGTTAGATGTAAAATATCTAGCATATGTTATATTTAGGATTACTCTTTCTTAGTAAAGTACAAATTCTAGTACTTTTATAATCGTAAAAATATCGTTCATGTCGTGAGGACATGCATAGCTCACAATTTGGGTTTCCATGACAACCAGTTGCATCTATATATAACCCTAAAACTTATACTTCAGTTGATTTTATGGCATATGGTGCTGCCAGCACGAGGTAATATCTTAATGTTAGAATGTTTTTGATAATTAATTTTTTCCAAATTATCAACGCCACTTGATATTGCAAAGTAATCATGTTATCCTATCATTATGTTATGCATGATGAAAAAGATCTTTAGAGATTATAAAAACAAGGGCGATAATTAAGTGAGCATTAAATCCGATTTGTGATAGTGACGCCATAGCGCCAATATGATTACTCAAGCTTATCTACAAAATACATCGACTCAAAGCCACATGCTGCATATATGACTATTGTTTGACAAATGATGACCTATTTATATCTGTTTGTTTAGTTTTACGCCGCTTTTAGCAATATTTCAGCAATATCACGGCGGGGGACACCAGAAATGGGCTTCACACATTGTACCCATGTAGGCAATCGAAGCCGGGTCTTTGTCGTGACGAGAGAACGCTCTGACCACTAGGCTACCACCAGAAATGGGCTTCACAAATTGTACCCATGTGGGGAATCGAACAAAACGTGACGGCATGACCAGCGACCACTTCGACCACTAGACCACCCTACTGCATTGACTTAACACATCTCAAACACGTGTGACAAATAAGTGACAAGACACATCACAAAGAACATATGCTATTTATTGAACTTTTACGATATCTGAAAAAAATCTTTCAATTATGAATTATTGAAGCAAATGTGATACAATGAGCCGATGATTTAATGAAGCGGATATCTGTCATTAACTGTGACATGTCCAGGGTGTGTACTTTACGTTGTCAAGTAATTAAATGAATTTAAACATTAAAACTATACATGATGATGAAGTAAAAGTAAGAAACAAACTTCTAGTAAGAAAACAGCAACCTGAAATTTAATTTTTTTACATTTGATAAGCGTAAATATTATTTTCCCTTTATGGTCTTTATATGTATCACAAGGTAGGAAATAACACGTAATTTAAGTCAATCTGCAGAAGTAACTTTTAAGCTGAATTCAAAAGATAAAAACGGAAAACAATTCACATAAATTACCGGATTTGCGTTATCATGGTTACGCATAATAAACAACAAATAATAATTATAATAATAATAATAATAATAAAGAACAAATGAATTGATTTGATACATTTAAACCTCGTTAAACCGGACCCCGCATATACGGAAACCCCTCTTTCTGAATGACTAAAATGGGTGACCTTTATACACTAAAGGGGCAACCCGTGAAGATCCGGGTTAGAATTGATCTTCAGTAACCCATGCTTGTCGTAAGAGGCGACTAACAGGATCGGGTGCTCAGGCTGGCTGATTTGGTTGACACATGTCATCGGTTCCCAATTGCGTAGATCGATGCTCATGCTGTTGAACACTGGATTGTTTGGGCCAAACTCGAAGATTTACAGACCGCCGCCGTATACAGTGCGGCGTAAAAACTAAACTCACTCACTCACTAAAGGGGCATACTGTGACTCGTTAATCCGGACATTTGTCAATCGGTGTATCTCACATAACTGGACCGGCTTTCGCTGTGACTGCATTTGCAACAAGGAACTGACAAAATCTTGCAATCTTCCAAAACAAGTGATACCACAAAACTGTAAAAATTGTTTTTGAAAAAACAGACAATTTGGAAAATATGCTAAATGAATATTCCTTTCAGACAATGTTGCGATTGAATTTGAACCGAGACATACATTAGACATTAAGGTCTTCAGTTTGAAGTTGACAGCAAAGATCGGGGTTGGTTTTCATCTCATACAATGTTTGATAATCTGGTACATGCCAAAGTACGTGTGTAAAACCTATGACGGCTGTCTTCATCTCAGGTGAGATTTACACTTCACTAAAACATGTGACCTCCATATGAGGCATGGCCATAAATGCAGTCATGAATATCAAACTCTAAATAATTCAATGGACAAAAACGAAAATGATCCAGCGGGCTTCAAAAAGAATCAGGCGTCCGATTTCCATCTCCAATGATTTTACGTACCCTTCCAGCTATTTCTCATAACGCTCTCCATCTATCGGCTGTATGGATGTCACTGGCGATGAAGACTAACAGCTGAAGGGTGTTTTATATACAGCAGGTATGTATGTAAAGGCATGTTCTATAGAAGTACCAACGAATATGGAAAAATGGTTCTGTACAAACATATGTAAAGGCGCCTCCGTAAGACCATGAGGTGGGTTTCGGTATGAGGTGCTTCCTACAGAGAAAACGTGTTAATAGTAAGGGATACTGAAAGGTCCTATAAAGCAGAGGTTATTTTCAGCTATCAAACTACAGCTGCTTTAAGGGGAACTAGCCTTGTCAGTCTTAAAGTTCAAGCTAACACAACTTAACAACAAAGGTTTGACGTAGTCATAGCATGTATTACCATGCAAAAACCGTTTCTCCGGCCTTAGTCGAGACAGTGTTGTACCTTCTTGTGCCAACAGCAAATTTCGCCTTTGAAAAAATACTGGTTTAAACAGCCAGTCAGCACGACACAGGGTGACACTTGGCAATATGAACTGAGTTTTCTGTCGAAAACGACTTCCAGAATAGATCCAGTGTCATCAGATCTTTGTTTAGCGGTATCGAGAAGAAAAATCTCATGTAAACGAGATTGAATACAAATGTGCTTACATTTAATAGAAGTCGTACTGAGTAACTCTACCCATGCCCCCCAAACTGTTGAGATCTGGTTTCTGGAATTCTCTGATTGCTGACGACAGGTGGTGGTTGAGTGTTGTCGCAGTCAGTAATATTAGTTCAGCTAACTATAACTAGCAAAAGCTGGATCAGATAAGCCAGTGACTAAAGGTATCACCTTGGATCTTATCACCAACGCACTGCTTGGCAATTGACTCTTACAGGTACAGGTCGATAGGAACCAAGTCTCTTACGGAGAATGGAATCCTCACAGGAAGATGGTGGTGAACTCACTGTCCTGATTCCTTACAAAACCTGATAATTCTGAAAAAGTGGAACTAAACTAGGAACTCTCTAATGAATCTAAGAACACGAATGCTAAAGGTAAATGATAGTAATGTGTCAGGCGTGAAAGGGGAGACCATTTAATAATATGGTGGTGTTTGGTTGCTGGTATCTGTGAAAAAAATAATTCTTTTCAGAAATACTATTCATCAGGCAAACAAATATTTTTTCTCCTTTTACAGAAATAAATTGCGTAACTTGAAACATTGACCAATAATATATCCTATCACTAGCAAAATCTCAGCTCACCCCAAACACTAGAGAATAATCGGTCCGTAGGCAGTATATATACATGGCTTTTAACAAAAATGCACCACAGCTTCCTGTTACAGTCATGTATCTAAACAAAACAATTTCACCAAATTCTGAATAAAGTATGTCATTGGTAAACCAATTCATTTAAATATTCCATGAAAATATAGAACTCACGCTGTCTTCTCAACATCCATTAAACCAGATACAACTGGTTCCAACAGTTCAGAACTAGTCTCAGATTATGAAATACATGTTCAGGGCTGCTGTCACATGTAGTATAACCAGGCAGAGATATAGTCACCAGTTTAATATTCTGCATAAGAATAAGAATATGTGTATCCATCCGAACGCTTAGAGTTTCAGAACACGTAAAATCACGTCAAACTTTGGAATTTTCCTGTTGTCGAAATTTTGGCGGTCTTCTCGGATTTGAGGCATACACATTCGGTGCTCGATCAGGGGAGATAAGGCTGGCCTTACCGTCGTAGATCGGCATGTCATGAACACGTGACTGTCGCGTTGGGGAAGGGGTGGTCTTGTCCGACTTGACCGCCTCCATCTGGACCACGACCAGACGATACATCAACAACACGATGACTAGAGAGTTCTTGGAGGTGAAAAACATATTGGTGTAACTCACGACACCGTATTTGAAGATGAGGAGCATGCGCACAACGAGGAAGGGAAGATCCTGTAAGGCAATGGAAATCATGATTCCGTAGATTTCCGGATTGCAGCATCCACCTTCTTCCTCCTTGTTGTACTGTGTGGGAACGCCGGACTGGTCTCGACGAGCTCTCGTGGCTGTGAGAACTAACGTGAACTGGATGAGACTTGCGGACCATATTCCCAGAATTATGTAGCACAGCAGGCGGTTGTGTTTTACCTGAAAATGAGAAACAGTTTACTTCGTGGAAACGTAAATTGATTTCAAAATGTAAAAACAGAAGATATTTCTCTCCCGCATTTTCTGAAACTGGTTTGTCCAAAGTTCCCAGTTACATGTAATGCAGTTACATAGTCAGCCAGACAAAAGATCCTACAACATGCCTGCACGTGAAACTTTGATTTGACAAAAAGAAAACCCAAACAGTCCATTTCTAAACGTTATTTGGCTCAAAAGTGGTCGCCGAAACGCTGCAAACTTAAGGTCCAGAATTATAGCACCTGCATACAAATGAAATACCCAGCTCTTGTTTGTATCATTTTTCACTACCTCGATGGGTGTATACCTTCTTTTGAGGATTTTTGGCCAAAACACTGAGGTCGGTCGGACGAAAAAACAGAAGATCAAAAAGTACATTTTCAGATAAAAATTTATTTACATCCTCAAAATGTTAATTGGTCAGGTAACGCATGAAAGAATGGAAAGTTTGAGGGCGTGACTTCTTAAGATAAATTTACAACAGTTTAAATCATATGTGTTTAGATAGCTTGTTTACACTGACACCGAAATGTTTTTGAAAAACATTTTACTTATTTACATTGTCCGGAAATTACATCCACTTATTGTGAAGAGGATATTCAATTTGTTAGTTTTCTCGTGTAAACACCGTTTTTACCTGAAGGAGCTGATGAATTATATATGTGGATACAAATACCCTTATAAAACCTTATCAGCAGGAAGTGACGGATGGGACGCCATTCATGACCAAGAGTAGCTGCACAATAGTGGTATAACAATTCATCGATAGTATCGATGTTTGCATCGTCAGCTACGCGATACGAGTGCATCGATACAAAACACATTTAGGCAATACTGTATATCAGGATATTTATATCGCAAGGGTCCACGATACATCGATGTATCGCCACAAGAAACGATATATTCCGATACAACTTCAATACTAGTTAAAGTTGTGAGGAGTATTGCATAAGGGGTAGGAAGGGAGTCTCTTTGAAATTCTTCTGAATTTTAAAAACAAATTGAACCTTTTAGGAATTTGTCTGTGTCTGTTATCTTTGTTACATGGACAAAGGAGTTGGTGTATAAGTGAAAGAGTGTGAACATTTTTCAAACTCTGTGAACTGTAGAATACTTGCCTTTAAGTAATTGAAATATGTTTTAGTTGTTTGACAAATAACACCATTTATTAACAACTATGAACGATGTCTTAGCTTTGATAAGAAAGAGAACAAAGAGAAGATACAATTTAGAAAGCAGTTATTTTCAGTGATTCTGAATTCTGATATAAATTACATTGAATTGTTTGCGACAGCATCGGTGCAGAAACACACCTTCCCAAAGGAAACTTCGGTTTCAAACTTATATATGTTAGATCAAAGTATACTGAATATATTTGACTGTACTTTAAAAGCTTTAAATGCTGAAACTTTATCAAATGAACAGCTTTTTAAGTGTGTGTGAATGTAACACAAGATCTGCCGTATAACAAATAAAGATTCAGTCATTTTATCTATCATGTATGTTCTGCTATTAGAAATTGTAAAGTATCGGGATACGTATCGTATCGCCACCATTGTATCGTGATGATAATCGTCTCGCAGGTTCCTTGCCTATACTTTCATGATCGTCCCGCCTAATTAAACTGGTATCGGGATATATCGTCTCGCCACTTAGACCACGATACACAACTTTACTGCACAGTGTGAACTCAGTATAACTAGAAATAATCCTTAAATTATGTTTATGTGAGAAAAACTCTCAGAAAACAAAGATGCAATCCACTAATAATATTTCACTTATTTCGTCAAACACCGTTGTGTCGAAGTTGAAGAGACCCGAGAAGATCCGGGTTAGAATTGGTCTTCAGGTATCTACAATTATCTCCCCCATGAAGATCCGGTTAGAATTGGTCTTCACCAACCCATGCTTGTCGTAAGAGGCGACTAACAGGATCGGGTGGTCAGGATCGCAGATTTGGTTGACACATGTCACTGTATCCCATTTGCGCAGATCGATACTCATGCTGTTGATGACTGGATTGTCTGGTCTAGACTTGACTATTTACAGACCGCCGCCATATAGCTGGAATATTGCTGAGTGCGACGTTAAACAACAAACTAACCAACCAACCAACGAAGTTCAAGGGACTTCGTAAATCATTCGAGTTATCCAAGGTTTAATACAACCGCAAAATGAAGATTGGATAAGTAAAAAGCAGGGATCAAGCTTTTACCTCGACACAACTGAATGTTCGACACAACGGTTTTTGACTATATTTGATGGAGTTTTTGTCAAAATAATCAGCGATGCTTAGATTATCTGTTTTTCGGGACTGGAATAATTCTGTTTGGAGAAGTTATCAGTTGAATGACACCTCTCTGACAAACCCTACCAGGCTGCACTAAAGCACTGATTGTAGTCTCATTAAGATAAACTATGACGTCACTCCCTGCTTTAAGACCGCGTCTATGATTAAGTATGACAAAAGAAGTCTTCACACGTGCAGAGCTACTTACTGGGTGAAGGAAACATCAAACAGATGTACTATCAACATCATCAATCGTTGTTTACTGAGTGATATTTATCTCTTAAAATAATGTCATAGTCTACCTCTACTTCTGGAAGTTTGTTAAGGATATAGCGTTCACTCTACGTGAGCACTTGTACACTGTGAAGTGAGCAAGAAGACCAATCATCAAGGGGCCGTAACTCGATATACAGAGTTGCGTCCCCGTATAGGCGGTGCTTCGTGTTTGTCAGCACTGTGACCGTGGGTTTTACAAAAGGGGTACATGTCTCAGGCCCTAACTGCTTAAAACCTTCCTCTAAAGACTGCCCTTTTCAGGTCGAAAACGCATCTTTTAGCAATATCCCAGCAATATCACGGCGGGGGACACCGGAAATGAGCTTTCCACACTGTACCCAAGTGTGGAATCGAACCAGTGTGCGAAATAGCCACTGGCCCGCTAGCCCGTGGCTAGTACAAATCCAGTCGGGCCAGTAAAACTCCACAGTCACTGGCCCGACTGGCTAGTGAATTTTCATGGGGTCATTTTTTAAATATATCCCTCTCTCCGATTTGTTAAGTTACAAATCATGCAAGATTATGGCCTGATAAAAATGTTCATCATATTAGCAGTTTAATGATGAAACCCGTGTCTACATTCAATTTTCGGGCTAGTGAATTATTTTGTGGGCAAGTAACGTTCCGGCATAGCTAGCCCGACGGGAAAGCAGATTTTGGAAACTATTTCGCACACTGAATCGAACCCGGGTCTTCAGCATAACGAGCGAATGCTTTAACCACTTGGCTACCCCACCACCCCTTCCCCTTCAATAGAATTTTGTATGTAACTCCCGCTTTTGCAAGAGATACTTTGAGTGGATTGGATGGCTGGGATCGATGACATCGTTGATTGTCTTTCATCTACCGCGGAGAGGGACGTTGAGTATGAATCACACCACTGATGTGTCTGGTCCATACTCGATTATTCAAAGCCCGTCACCATACAAGGCCGGGGTTCGATTCCCCACATGGGTACGAAATATGAATCCCATTTCAAGTGTCCCCAGCCATGATATTGCTGTGATATTGCTAAATCGGCAAAAAAGCCCAAAACGTGGATATTGAGGCGTAAAATAACACATCTTGGTTATTAGAGAGTTGAGACTGATATCAGGGAGTGAGTTTGGTTTTACGCCGCTTTTAGCAATATTCCAGCAATATCACAGCGGGGGACACTAGAAATGGGCTTCACACATTGTACCCATGTGGGGAATCGAACCCGAGCGAATGTTTTAACCACTAGGCTACCCCACCATCCTCAGACTGATATTAACATAATCCGCCGGTCCTTATTTGTAAAATGTCTCCCACGAATTTTGTGTGAACAGGAAATGCGAAGGTCATGTGAAGACGACAATGGTCCAACACTGAACATTCTTAGTAATCATTTTCTGTGGGAAATTCACACACATAGATTTAAAAAAAGTAAACATACCGCTTGAATATATTAAAAGTCTGCAAGGATTTAAATTCTCAACAACAGCTGCCATCGATAAAAGTGGAATCAAATCTAAATTTATATCTGTTTACAGAAGGTTTATTTCAAAACTTAACGAATTAGCACTGACGCAGGGTTTCTTATAGCTGAAATGTCAACGTGTCACTTACCTCCTCCTCATTGAAGGCCTCGTAAAACTCGACTATATCAGCAGCCGTGCCCACGTAGACCAATAGGAGTTGAGACAGCTGGTCATGTGACAGGGCGCCTTTGGGCAACATCCATCGCCCAACGATGAGCATGAGCAGGAGGAACTGTTCAATGGTTCGGAGCCAGAGGTCCGCGTCCAGAGAGAGAGGGATGTTGATCTCAAGCTGCAAGAACACGTAGATACAGAAAATTACGGTTATAACGAACTCGATGGGCCCACTACTTTGAGTTTCTCATAACCGTAGTTCGTTATAACCGTATTTCGTTATAAAATAACAATGTACAAGCGAAATGAACAAAAAAAATACGAGTTCGTTATAACCGGAGTTCGTTATAAAATAATTAAAATGTACAAGCGAAAAGAACAAAAAATACCAGATCCTTATAACCGGCGTTCGTTATAAAATAACTAAAATGTACATGCGAAAAGAACAAAAAATACCAGATCGTTATAACCGGAGTTCGTTATAAAATAACTAAAAGGTACAAGCGAAAAGAACAAAAAATACCAGTTCGTTATAACCGTATTTCGTTATAAAATAGTTAAAATGTACAAGCGAAAAGAACAAAAAATACCAGTTCGTTATAACCGGAGTTCGTTATATAATAACTGAAATATACAGCAATCGATATATCCGTTAGTTCGTTATAACCAGAGTTCGTTATAAACGTACTATATTGTACAGTGGTTCAGGATGTGATCTTACTGATGACTTAGTTGCATTTGGTGAGTTTTGTTTGATGTTTAACACCAATATTCAAGTTTTATGGCGTCGGTCTATGGGCCATTGAAACCGGGCCAGACAATGTCATGAGCAACGTTCTACACAGTCGGGTCACCGTGACACGCGATCAAACAAGTTAGAGAGATTCACCACATTCCACTTAACGGCCTCTAATGATAATTAAATACACTGGGTACTTTTCTTGCCGAAAATCTCGACAGACACACTGGGAATAAGCAACAGTCACTATAGAATGGTCTTCCTTGATTGTATTCATGTGCGAATCGAACCATCGCACCTCCGGCATGGCAAACAAAAGCGTTAACCATGGAGCTAAGCATCCCAAATCCTCAGGATATTCAAATGTGATATAGTATGACAGAGGAGGATTGTGCTCTTCTCCATAAACGCATTTGTCTGTTCAACCAAGTTGTATTACAACAAAACAGGGTGTTTATTGAGCACAATTGTACAGTTGTGCTGTTCACCTCTAATTCGTATGTAACCTTTACATGAACTCGGCCTCTGTCACTCGCAGGATTCCGTCAGTGACACATGGTGATTTGAACTTAACAAGGTTGCGGTTAATAAGTAGTCATATCGATGGCCTAACAAGCCTGATGGTCATTATATGTGCAATGAAATTATCCTGTCAATCAAACAACAGGAATGACCCCTCACAAAGTCGGAAGTGATACAGCATCTTCCATTTTGTCCCGACATCTGTCCGCCATGTTTGCTACATGGTTCCCCATTGCTTCTGAAATATTTCCAGGCCTTAGGCTGACCATGTCAATCGAAGTGTAGAGATTTAAAACTAAACTTTCCTAAGCGCGGCGCCAAACATTGCATGCACTTGAACATTTGATTTGACCCCAAAATTACAAACAAATCGTTCCTCTGCGAAAGACAGTCGCCGAAACCATCAGATGTGTTTTGTTCATACAACCACACACACCATACACAATATCAAACATGGAAACAACCAGGTATATCCTATGTCAGACAGGCAAACACCTCTCCCACTGGACTTGTCCATAGCTACCATTGTGTCAGTCTTAACTACAATACTCACGTTAAATCAGTAGTATTGACACACGAAGTCACATGACTTTGAAATAACAAATCATGATCAACCATAATTAATCAATTATAAAGCAAATCTTGGATTCTAGGTGGTGGAGTAGCTTAGTGGTTAAAGCGTTCGCTCGTCACGCCGAAGATACGGGTTACACTCCCCACATGGGCACAATGTGTAAAGCCCATTTCTGGTGTCCCTCGCCATGATATTGCTGGGATATTGCTAAAAGCGGCGTAAAACTAAACTCACTCATTCACTCACTCATTCATAATCATGGATTGGATTGGATTCTAACCGACCTTTTGAGCATCCTGCAACGACTAAGGGCCACAACTCCGCATATTTATTGTTAGCGTGAAAAAGGAATAAAGTATGTTCCGTGTGTCTTTCACCCAGTCCATAACTCTTAGTGCATGTACCTGGTGTCAGTTCAGGCATCCCTCTAACACGGAGCTGACACGCTTATATAACTCGTCTACTGTTAACAGTGCAACTCACTCACTCACCTAATATATAACACGAGGGCGAGACGTTAAACAACTACACGAGGGCGTGACGTAGAATAACATAACGAAAAGCAAAACAAAAAAACAAGAGTTCATGCAGTGAACACTTTTGTATTGAGAAGGGGACGATCTGATATAATATGTTTGTTATCACAAGCAGGAGATGCTGAGCTAATATTATTGTTGGGGATTGGCTGATTGCCTCAGAAAATAGACGAGCAGGTAAGCACAATTTTAGGTGATTCAAACGGGTTCTTTTTAGACAAGCATTGCTCTAAATAAACACTATTTCGGAAATTGTGTTCCTAAAGTAGTGATGATCCAAAGTGCTTACCCGAAATAGCGTTTACCTGCAGCTGTGCTTAATAAGCACTTTGGATCATCACTACTTTGGGTAACCGTTATTTCACTACTTTGGGTAAGCACTTTGGATCATCACTACTTTGGGTAAGCACTTTGGATCATCACTACTTTGGTGAACCACTTTGGATCATCACAACTACTTTGGGGGTAAGCACTTTGGATCATCACAACACTTTGGATCATCACTACTTTGGGTAACCACTTGGATCATCACTACTTTGGGTAACCACTTGGATCATCACTACTTTGGGTAAGCACTTTATCAGAGGGGAACACAAAGTCCGCAGTCTATACTATCAGTTGTCCGACCTCCATTTTAGTGGAAGCAGCGGTGGCTGAGCGGTCTAGGCGTCTGACTTTGTGTGCTGGCGATTAGGTGCCTGACTCTGAGGGTGTGGGTTCGAATCCCGGATGGGATTCAACCCAAAAAGTACTAGAATCTGTACTTTACTAAGAAAGTGTAATCCCAAATATAACATACGTTACGTAAGCACTTTAGATCATCACTGATTTGAGTAAGCACAGCGGTGGGTACGTAACCACTGCTAATGGTAAGTACAGTTGTGTATAAGCAATACTGATTGTAAGCACTACTACGTGTAACTATAACTGCGATAAACCTCTAATCCTAGTAAGCACTGTAAAGGCTGTCGTTAAGCTCTACTGTACACGAACAAACAGCCAATATCACAGCAAAAGACGCTTTACCTTTCTCTCGGTTATCTGATGTAAAACGTAATCTTTTATCGTTTCTAAGATTGCATGCATGGTTTTTTTTGTATCAACAGAGGGGGCTTTAGTAAAGTAAATATCGATATGTATAATCAATAATCCCTGGTAAGAAAGCCATTAAACTTGGTATAAGGCTAAAATAGAATATATAGAAGCAATAAAAGTAGAGAAAAAAAATCCCGACAACAATATTCGAGTTTCAGCCAAATTTTCTTCAGTTATACGACTTTTTGAAACATGTTCAGAATTTCTATAAGATGATGAGCTCTTTTTAAAAATTTTTAGAATAAATATGTGTAAATATGATCCATTTTCCCAACCTGATAACGTACACTTTGACACACTCTTTAAAATATTTTATTGTTCGTTTTAAAAGCGACGGCATATTATGATGGTAATAACATGTTTCTTAAATTATACCTGACACCGGTTATCTGTTTTGTTAATCGCACGCCCAGCGGGCATGTGCGCACACGACGTCATATATCTGATCAGAAACCCAGTCTACGATAAGATACTTTCACAGCTTATGTTTTCTGGTTGTGAACAAGAAATTACCTCCAAGATAACCTCAAGGAATTGGGAGAATATATTACAGGTAATCGGTGTGTATAAACACGTGAAATCTCAGGGAATAAAAACATGTGCAGGGCGGGGTGTTCCAACCAAGACGACGAGCCTGGTACTTTGCTTAGCAGGCGTTTGCACCGAATGATTCATCTCATATTGCTATCAAAGAAAGTTGTAACGAAGATATCATCTTAATAAATCACCACACCACGTTATTTGTATTTAATTCGTTTTACAGTAGGCGTAGATAACGACACGGTCATTGAATGTAAACACAATTGAGGAGCACTTTGTTCGAGAGCGGAGCACGTGCGCCGGAAGTGATGAGTGTCCCTTGACGTGCGACAAAACAATTTCAGACGTTTGATATTGAATACCAAATAATTACGCGGGCCATCTCATGGAATATTAATTTCATACATAACTAACCCCATTTCATATTTAATGTAGCTTCCTTGCTAACACTCGAATACGATATTAATTTCCAAGAAGAGATGAGTGGGTTTGATAGGGTTCCCATCCGTCACTTTGAGTCTGTTTACAAACATACCCTCGTTACCATAGTGACCAGAATCCTAATCAGAACGCCTATCTTGGCGGTGCCTCTTTTACGTTGAACCACCTGGCATTTATTTTCATATAATGTCTAAGCTCTCTGAAAACGGGTTTGTTTACCAACAAAGCAGCACATGTGTTGCTAGGGCCGGAGTCACCTGATTATTTTGCCAATCCCTTAGAGCATTCAAAACTTTGAAATTGTGTAATGGAGATTTCAGATGTGACTACCGACTTTCTGTTTTATCTATGAATTGATGCCGCACAACAGCGTGGGCTTTCTGTCGATTACCTGCATGGCCCGTGATAGATAGGTATCGGGAGAAGAGCAGTACCGTACTGTCTGTAATAGTACATCTGCATCAGAGTGTGTTGTGTGAGAGGAACAATCGTGACCGAATCAGATCCGTTACTGCAACATCTTTCACCGTCAGGATGTGACAAATCTACTACTACTACTACTACTACTACTACTACTACTACTACTACTACTACGACTACGACTACGACTACGACTACTACGACTACCACCACCACCATCAGCAATACTACTACTACTGCTGCTGCTGTTAGTGCTACATCTTCTAGTACAGCTTCTACCACTGCTACTGCTACAGCTACTACTGTCGTTTCTACTTCTGCTACTGCTCTTTCTTCAGCTTCTACTGTTGCTGCTTCTACTGCTACAGCTACTGGGACTGCTACTACTGCTGCATATACTGCTACAGCTGCTGTTTATACTGCTACAGCTACTTCTACTGCTACAGCTGCTGCTTGTATTGCTACAGCTACTTCTACTGCTACATCTACTGGGACTGCTACTACTGCTGCATATACTGCTACAGCTACTTCTACTGCTACAGCTGCTGCTTATACTGCTACAGCTACTTCTACTGCTACATCTACTGGGACTGCTACTACTGCTGCATATACTGCTACAGCTACTGGCACTGCTACAGCTGCTGCTTATACTGCTACAGCTACTTTTACTGCTACAGTTGCTGCTTGTATTGCTACAGCTGCTTCTTCTACTTCTACAGCTGCTACTTCTACTGCTACAGAAGCTGCTGCTTATACTGCTACAGCTATTTCTACTGCTACAGCTGCTGCTTGTACTGCTACAGCTGCTGCTTCTACTGCTACTGCTGCTGCTTGTACTGCTACTTCTACTGCTACAGCTGCTTCTACTGCTACAGCTGCTGCTTATACTGCTACAGCTGCTGCTTATATTGCTACAGCTGCTGACACGGCTACTATTAATAATACCCTGTCCACGTTGTGTTTCATGCTCTGTGAGGGCGGTGAGGTAGCCTAGTGGTTAAAACGTTCACTTGTCACGCCGAAGACCCGGGTTCGATTCCCCACATGGGCACAATGTGTGAAGCTCATTTCTGGTGTCCCCCGCCGTGATATTGCTGGAATATTGCTAAAAGCGACGTAAAACCAAACTCACTCACTCTGCTCTGTGCTATGAAGATACACAAACATTTGTGTTGGAGATACAAAATATCGAATCAGTAAAAGTCTTTAGCTGATGAGATTCATGACAAAACCAGACAAACGAGGCATCGCTATCCTGCTGAGGCACGGTTTAAGCCTAACCCCTGTATAGTTAACATATGATGGAGATCCTATTAACATGCTCGTAAATAACTGACAACCCGATACTCATCTGTTAGCTAAGATGAGACATTAACAATTTTCCTCACGTGGTAATACTTTTGCACATTTATTGTTGCAGCAAATTAAATATTATTAATGATGTTTCGGAATGAGAAATCATTCAAAGTACCAGTTCTCGAGGTAATATATAACAGGAAATACGGTAATTGCCGAATATTCGTTACCCACCTAAGTCTGCCATTTCATGACATGTCGTGACAAATGATACACTGAAACAGCATACAACGGTGTTAAAACCCAGTAGTCACTGTCTGCCTTTTGACTGACCTACATTCTACTACAAGCAGAACATCTGTTCTCTAAAGTCATTTGAGTAAACCAGCTATTCAAATACAATGGAATGGTGTAGTTCATCACTAAGTATGGGATAACAGGTGGACGTTCCAACTGATCTGAGTACAGTAGTGGATAGAATTTCAATAAAATCAAAGTAAAAACAATGTCTTCAATTGAATGTTACGTAAAAAATGCGTTTGTTGAAGAAATATGATGTATGTCTTCCAAATGTTCATCACAGTCACTGAAATCAGACACTGCTACCAAAGTACTTGGGGTGCTGTCGCCCAATCTTAACCTCTGGGGTCCCTCTTATTGAGACAGGGGCGTTGGGGTAGCCTAGTGGTTAAAGCGTTCGCTCTTCACGCTGAAGACCCTGGTTCGATTCCCCTCATGGTACAATGTGTGAAGCCCATTTCTGGTGTCCCCGCCGTGATATTGCTGGTACACGTATATTGCTATAAGCGGCGTAAAACCAAACTCAAACAAACAAAGCATGGTGCTGACCCACGGCCTCGGATTCAGGCACAGCTAAGGGACGCTACTCTGCACATACAATAACGTCTCCATAGATGACTCGGAATCATGTTTGTATCATAGGAGGTACGAATGCTACTAGAAAAGTTACGAGATCTTAGGCTTACGAGAGCTTTGTGAAACGGGGCCAATTATTTTCGAGAACCAAATAAAAACCTTGATCTTCCTTGACCTTTCTTTCCCTAAAATTCAAACGCCATCCCTGCCATTAATCCTGATATACGGAATGCCACGGATCTACTGCAGATCTGGATGAATAAATGTTGGATATCTGAACCATCCGCTCTGCTGATGCCAGGTTGATAGCACTGCCGCAGAGAAAGGCATTAAACTAAATGTCAGTCTCGACGCAAGAACACACATATTTTATAGTCCTGCAGCCAGTGCATTATTTCATCAAACGGTTCATTCATGATCAATCTTCTTAACAAAGATCATAAACCTTAATAATCCTGTTTTATCTTAATTCCCGAAGAACATCGCGAACAAGGCCATAAACGCCGTTTTCCCAATAACCAAGCACTTGGGTATTAAAACTAGGATCGGCGAAAGTACGAAATAACCCTGTTCCTTAATCGGAACCGACAGAGCCACTGCATACAGAGACTGTATTTAAGGGGTCACCGTGCAGGACTGGCTGACCGTGAGGTTATCTGATAGACACTGGTAGAGTGTGACCACTGGTCAAATGCATTAACTGATCAGTATAATATGACAGTGAAGTCAGACCTAATGACCTACTTGTCGCGTCTTACAAGATTCTAATCTGTTAGCCCAACTGTCCAGGTTACCGACTGATGATGAAGTTTAAAGTAATGGTCAATGAATCTTACAAATCTTAATTAATAGTAAACGCTGTTGTTGGCTGATGGATTATTGTGTTAACTGTACAAATACTGATACTCGAAACTGTACTGGCTGATAACCCCGGTATTAGTAACTTCACAACATTGACGGCGTATGGAATCCACGTGATGAATCGAACCCGGGTCTTGGGCGAGACGGGCGAACGCTTTATCCACTAGGTTACCACACCGTAAGCTCCCCTCGAACAGCACATCATTACAATGCCATGGCAAGCAATGAGCCAGACTTATCCTCATTGAACACGTATAGAACATGATAGAATTCGTGTGCGTCAACGTCATAGGCCGCCGACCACGTTGGCTTAACCTGTCCACGCGCTAATTAAAACAGGTTCTTTCAAATTACAATCAGGAACCTGATAAGCAGTATACCTTGTCGAAGATTAGTCTGACAAATCTGGTCAGTATTACGCACTACTGATCCAAAAGCGTTTGCTTTGAAATTTCCCATCTTACCTCTATCGTCGATTGTTGGAGACCATAAGATCTACTGTTATACTTCACTACCGGTTGTAATTTGTTCTTCATTATCATACAACCATTACTTGAAAGTAACATATCTTATAATTTAGGGAATTTTATGACATCAGATTTGAATCAGTCAGTATGGTTTACGCCGCATCTCGCAATATTCCAGCAGTACAAGGCCATATGGGAAGTCAGTCGAACCATGATCTTCAGCTGGACGAGGTAACGCTTTAACCACTAGGTAATCCCACCGCCCCGAGACCCGTGAAGATCCGGGTTAGAATTGATCTTCAGTGACCCATGCTTGTCGTAAGAGGAGGCTAACGGGATCGGGTGGTCAGGTTCGCTGACTGGGTTGACACATGTCATCGGTTCCCAATTGCGCATATCGATGCTCATGCTGTTGATCACTGGATTGTCTGATCCAGTATTTACAGACCGCCGCCATATAGCTGGAATATTGGTGAGTGCGGCGTAAAAGTAAACTCATTCACTCACTCACTCACTCACCCACCGCCTCGACGGTTTAACAGATAACGTTACAAAGGAACCAGGTCATGTTGACCTGACTGGCTGATGCGAGTTCCCAAACATAGCGGAACTACCAACGTTACAGCTACAGCCCAGGTGGCAGGTTCACAATCCATATTGGAAATTCATGAGTTATGGGAATGCGTGGTATTCATACTTTATTTGTCGTTATAAGAAGCATCAAATATTGGTTCAAGCTGCTGAAAGCGCACGGATAACGACTGCAGAGAAACACTACTGAGTTAGGACATGTCATGAGGTCGAGGTGAAACTGTCATTTTAAAACTATTTGCACATAGTTGAGTGATATTTTGGTAAATAGAGATTCCACTGAAGATATTTTCGACAAAGTGCTGTAGTTTCGTCATGAGTGCACATTTAAATGACGGTTTAGGTGATGTTTACAGATCATTTGAAAGCTGTGTTGACTTTAAGAGGTACTTAAATACTTCAACAACATGTGCAGAAATACACGTAAGATTTAGACCACGCTTGTTAGGTTACCATATCTGATGAAAGACGCACCACGTGCCCGTATGGCATCAAAGGAAGGAGGATAGCTGGTCAAGAACATGTGCCATATGTGGTGCCATATGTTACTGTGACTGTCGGGTGTCAGGGGACTTGACTTGCCTATTTTGCGTGTGTTAATGACGGATTTAACTAATCAATCAGCTTTTCGCGAACCTCCACCTGGTGTCATCACCATAGTGATTCATAAACACATGCTCATCGTGTTGTCAGAACTAAATAAAAACGCACATCAAGCTAATACCGTGACATATAAGAGTGTTAAACTCATTCATAATCAGGGGCGGTTGGGTAGCCTAGTGGTTAAAGCGTTTACTCATCACGCTGAAGACCTGGGTTCGATTCCCCACATGGGTACAATGTGTGAAGCCCATTTCTTGTGTCCCCTGTCGTGATATTGCTGGAATATTGCTAAAAGCGGCGTAAAACCAAATTCACTCATTCACCGACTCATTCATAATTATGAATGGTGATGTTGATGCCACTACAGGCATGTTGAGAGGAAACTTACCCCCAGTTCTGCAATGGTCATGCTAAGATCCTCGGCGGTGTTGTTGCGACCGATGATGGTGGTGTTGAAATTTTCCTTCTCTGCAATCCGCTCTTCCATGGCATGAAGTTCCAGGAACCAGATAGCGGGGACAACGCTCCCGAGATAGAAGAACACGCTCGGACAAAACCTGGGAACAAGAAAGACGTATACAATTAAACACCGTCGAACATGTGTTGAAGTTACGGTGGTCTCGAAGCAAAGACCGGTTCCCTTCGTATTATTTCTATATATCTTTTCGGTTGTGTCGAACTTCGGATAACTTGAAGTATTTACGAAGATCTTCAACTTCGACACAGCAGTGTTGCATGGAGTTAAACAATCATGTTTAGTCATATACCCAGTCACTTTTCAAGAACTTGCTCAAAACCTACTTCTTCAGCCAATTATTATTTATTATTATTATTTATGTCAATCCTCAGGTAAAATCTGGTATCTCACAATGAGGTACCCCAGAGGCTCAGAATGGGCGTTAGGACCCCAAGTACTTTAGATGCAATGTCTGATTTCAGTCACTGTCTCGTAGAATCCTGAAATCAGGGAGTTTTGATTATGCGAAAATGGCTGATTTTATACCCTGAGTAGAATTTGTGAAGATATCCATAAATACATGTCCTATTGACTCTAGCGTTAAACAACATTCTCACTCTATATAGACGGCACCCGTGAAGGTCCGGGTTAGAACTGATTTTCAGTAACCCATGCTTGTCGTAAGAGGCGACTAACGGGATCGGGTGGTCAGGCTCGCTGGGTTGACACATGTCATCGTATCCCAATTGCGTAGATCGATGTTCATGCTGTTGATCCCTGAATTGTCTGGTCCAGACTCCATTATTTAATGACCGCCACATAGCTGGAATATTGCTGAGTGCGGCGTAAATGTAAACTCACTCACTATGAAGACGGCTCTGGGCTCTGTTCTCCAACACGTCCTGTTTTGTGAAACTGGTACCGTTTAGTTTTACTTTGTTGTTTGTTTGACATCATGAGCATCGATCTACGCAATTGGGGTACGATGACATGTGTTTCCCAAGTAAGTATGTCCATCCGATCCCGTTACTCGCCTCTTATAAGCATGGGTTGCTGAAAATCAATTCTAACCCGGATCCTTACATATTACATAGTTCTTACAAGGTACAGAATCAACATTTACTGAAACGGTTTTTTTCAATCATTGTCTGTAGGCATTTGGGCACAATGATACGTACAATTATAGGTTACAAACCGTGGTTACAGTAATGTGTCGGTGTACATTTGGGCAGAATTCAAAGAAAAACTTGACATTTGGTGCGCAATCTCCGACCGTGATCTGTTTTCTTCACTTCATAATGAAGGAAGTACAGGTATAATAGAACGAAGCCGAGCAAAGTTTGCTGAAATTCTGGAGGGGAGGTCACCTAATTTTGACCCACGTGTTCTGCAGGTAACATAGCTCTATACCGAAAATTAATATGTTTTTTTCTTACTCAATGAAAAATATACTTAAGACTGGACAACAAACAGGTAAGAAAAACCTGAGCACCAGTGGAGCAGGCACCGCAACCACTGACAGAGTTGTCTCCCCTAGCTACCAGGATATGCTGACCCTTAGATCGAATCCTGTTATTCCTTATACATGCATCAGCTGGGGCATCATCGCAAGAAAATATTTTCTCAATTAAAGTACACTGACGTAACTGAAACACAATGGAGTTTGTCTCACTCACACAGACAGCTGTCAGGCACCGATTTTCAGAAACGCCATTTTTTTACATGCCAGGAAGGGCTTACGTTACAGATTTACAGACAGCGAATGTGTTACTTACAAGAGACTGACGAGTGGTTCTTTGTTGAACATGAAGCTACAGCGATGCAATCACTCATTAATCAGCTGGAAGTGATAGTTCACGTAAAAACGCTTTTGGCCATGGCTGCTTAGAGTACCGTATTCCTGCTATATGGGAAATAAGGCAGCAGAATGCTGTCGCTGTCACAAGTTTCCTCTTCGATTTAAACTGTAAGTGTTTTGGATCCGATCCACAAAGCATTCGTAACTTTACGCCCTGTCGTAACTCTATAGTTTATCATATTCGTAGCAGTACGAACGTTTGGCGGATCGGGACCCTGGGCTCCCTTGCACAAAGGCCCACGTGCACAAAGCAATCTTAGAGTTACGACCATCTCAAGGCTAAGTTAGAGTATGGGAGTTACGATCATCGTAGGGTTAAGACCACTTTGTGCATGTGGGCCTTTGTCTCATATGTTCATACTCGCCGTATTGACTCTCATATGACCCACCTCGAACATTACATGTTGTCTAAAATGGATATAACGAAGTTCTCAAAATCAGTTCGTAATGAGCGGTGGGACGATCCACCCATCCATCGCCATCTAATATCCCGATACAAGTATCGATCACAGTCACACACTTAGTGAAAACTATCGATTAATGCCTAAAACAATTGCTGTAATAATACTCAAGCCAAACACTAGAAGTGAAAACATATTATTATCAAGTTTGCTCTAATTGACACTTGCACACAATCATAATATGTGGAGTTAGTATCGCATGAATAATACCATTCCTTATGGTTTGAATATTATTCCTAATATCCGGCTTCATCACAACCAACGGCGAGTCCTGTGCTTTGCACGTAAGCGTATATTTACGTTAGTGCCACACAAAACTGCCAAGGTGCATGATGGGCTCCTTAACAGATTCAATAACGTGAGGCCCCGAACGAGCATGTGAACAGATTCAGTAACGTTAAAGGCGCAATGTCACACATTCTCGCAATATTTTGCCCAATATTATAATATTTGGGCATATGCACTCACTTTAGCTTCCTATTGATGCAATAAAAGACTTATTATTCCTTACGGCTTGCCTGAAATCGATAATTGAAACTTCGAGGCGAACAGCTTCCAAACTGTGAACACTTGCCATATATGGAATGTAAACAATTGCTCCGTACATCGAAAACTGTCGCACGTGGTGTTGTCGGTATTTGCCGAACCAGTTTCAATCACAAGTTGTGCGTAGGATATTGGTAAAGAGCGCTCCAAGGAACATAACTCTATGGGGTTCGCCGGAAACGTTGCATTAATTCATTCAAAGTTTTTAGTGTAATATTGTAATCTAAATGCGTAATTATTTTAAATAAATTATTTGGAATATTATTGAGAGAAATGCATTATTTACTTTTAGAGAGGTGTGGTGTGATTAAAGTGCCTTTAAAGGACCTAAGTTCGGCAGTGTACGCTATCTATAGGTTTGATTGTTAGATTCATTCAGGTTATAATCCATGTTCGACATTAATAACCAAAAGGTTTCACCAAAGTGACACAGAGTTAAGTATACCAACCCTAATCCCTTTCCTGGGAAATATATTGACATAAACACTTATCATGAATTCATTTCGCTTTGACAGATAAGGAATAGGGAGAGGAAGGGTGGAGTGAAATGGGGTTGGTTATATGTTTAAAATACAGTTTTCTTTCTTAAAAAATTAATCATTAAATTTCGTTAGATTTACTTTTAATATTCTCGATGTTACATATAGAAATGGGCAACACCACGCGCCTTGGCACAGAAGAGATTCTTTGCGTATACAATATTTAAACTGGACTTACTGAATCCACTCTATATACACAAACAAGCATAATCATTAAAGTGCCATTTCCCTGAACAACTGAATAAAGATGAAATGGAAAACTCAGTACTGAACGGCTCGCGTGTCGGTATGGACGATCAAAGACAGAGAACTGTCTTCACATCAGGGAGATGGTAAACAGATATAATGACAGATTCATAATTCTTTAAATGTTACAACGCGTATCATTATTCCTCTTACGCCACGGTAATGACAGCAATAATGCTCACGCCATGACCATTTAGCTGTCCTGTACTGACGTGTAACCGTCGTACGTATGCTGTTAAAACGCTGCCGCGACATCCTTACCGTCGCCGTTGCTGACGTAGAGACACGCACTCAATGACTGGCTTTAATTAACGGAAGCAAATAACAGTAAATGATACGTAACAAAATGGGATGTGGTGCAAGTGATGGAAGTGCTTCAGACAATGGCCGGATCTGTTTCTGGTGGTTTGAGAACCATGTGGACTTTATGCATAGCATATAAACTGCTCGTGACATTTTTGCACTAACGAAACCATTGAACAGTGTTCATTTTGTTATCATCTGATTCCCATGGTTGTGTCAATATTAAAATGAAAATGTGCATTCTTTCGGTTAAATCAACATTTTGAAGGTATGACGTCATGATCAGAAATGTTATTGTCAAAGTCCCATGCTAAATCACCGTCATATTGATATGTTCATTCTTTGGTTCAAGTCCACGTTTTAAGTTAATTCTTCTGCCTCGAAGGGTTGACTGAACGATGAATATGTGGACATTTCGCTTAAACAGTCCTGTCAATCAACTCAGTATTTCCAAGGTATGACGTCACAATGACCATTATGATGTCATAGTTGGTTTATTGCCATGGTCATTGTCTTGAACGTGGATCTCGGAATCATGATATTATGTCTTTGGTAGGAGGCGATTAAACAGGGAATCGCGTGGTCAAGAATTTGGATATAGCTTGGGTTTGTGACCATCTTTTGAGATATTGCTGACTTTCTGTATAATCTCATCTAGCGTTCTCGATCTCGTTGCATGACGTTGTTTCGAATCCATGAATAGTCTCAGTTATAATGCTTGGTGTATAAGCAGCATATTTGTGCTCATGGATTTGACAACTGAAGAACTACGTGGATATTCAGGGTTTGAATAGGTCCCCAGCAAACTATACTCTTACAAAATGTAAGGGAACTTCATTTTTAATTTACGATTGAAGAAATTGGGAGATATATCGGAGTCAATCAATGTTGACAAAATAATAATGAATGTTTAGAGAGTGCATCACTACTTGCGCTTCCTTATGACCATAGTTGTTTGTACAGTAATTGCTCTTGAAAGATGTATGGTGTATGACGTGAAATTGGTATGTGTACGATTTTCATTTTCAAACCAAAAAACGGCTAGAAACAAACACTAAATATAGCAACCGTGTGATGCAAGATGATTGTCCAAATTAATGGTTTACAGTGATTTATCGACCTTTTTGAAAACCGTCAAAATCAAGAA